GAAAAACATGGCTGATCTTTCTGCCACAGAAATAGATATAAGACGAAAGTGAAGCGTGTCTTCACGTATATTATTGGACGTTTATGTTTCATTTTTTTTACAAGGATGAAGATATCAATGCTTTAGCAACAAACGGTAAGGCTACAGGAAGAACGGCGAGCTACTCGAGACTTGCATCACACTGCTGAAACAGAAAAGACAACAGCCGCATACACCGGATGAGGGCGAACTGTCACAGCTGGACACTTAAAGCACGCTGCTCAAACAACTAGAAGGACTCACGAAACGAATTTACAATCTACACTTACCGAGTGTTAAAGAGTACTTCTACAACTTGTTACTTTGTGTGTGACAGTGTGCTCGTTATGTAAACGCGGCCTCTGCAGCATAGTAATGTTCGTGTGAAAAAAAAAGGCAGATCTCACGTGCAGCGGGAATCGGTAATATGCGAAGAACTATAATGAGGCAGGTTGATATGTCATTTTGAAGTCAGCACAACGTTGCGAGGAGGAAGTAAATTATGCCGGATATGTCTTTCGTGTCACGGCTGTCATGTTTGGACGTGAAATTTACCTTCGTCATCTATTCATGTCACCTGATACCCAATTTGGTATATGTGGGACTAGCGAAACGGCCGCGAGCACCCTATGAGCATTGCATGTAGTCATGTTTTACATGACACGCATACTATGATTATCATATTTGGACATGTCATTTACCTTCATCAATTCACGTCACGTGATACCAAATTTGGTATATGTGGAGCTAGCAAAACTGCCGTGAGCGCATCACGAGCTTGGTACGATGTCATGCTTTTACATGACACGCGTGCCATGATTATCATGTTTGATCGAGCCATATACCTTCGTCAACCCCTCACGTCACGTAACACCAAAATTGGTATACGTGAAGCTAGCGAAACGGCAGCGAGCGCATCATGAAGGACTCATTCATACTCCGATGTAACATTGACGCGCACGCACGCTGGGCACGACGACGCTACGCTAGCAAAATGTGAATACTCTATAGTCTGACACCAGGTACGACAGACGCCACTAGCATCAGTCGGCGCGGCCAGTGGCGACCGGAGCGAAATGCGGCGTGCTGCATTTCGCGCTGATGAGGTTATTCAGACAACACCGTGTGTGCCTCTTTCCGTTAATGCAGGTACGCCGGCGCGCGCACACACGCATGCGTCAAAGAAATGCTGAGCGGCGCGCGCCTGGCGTGGCATCTCCGGCGGGACGCTACAAAACGAACGCCGGCGCGTACGCACACCTGTTCACGTCGAAGTGTAATGCCTTGAGTGTGGCATGTAGTCATGTTCTTACGTGACACGAATCTCATGATTATCATGTTTTCACTAGTCGCATACCTTCGTCATCCATTCACGTGACGTAATACCAAATTTGGCATATGTGAACCTAGCGAAACGGCCGCAAGCGCATCAGGACTGTGTCATATAGTCATGTTGTTACATAACACGCATGTGATGATTGTCATGTTTGGACGTGTCATTAAACTATCTCGTCTGTTGGAGTCGAGCAATACCGAATTTCGTACATGTGAAGCTAGCAAAACGGCAGTGAGCGTATCACGAGCGTAGCATGCACTCATGTTGTTACATGACACTCACTGGCAAGTAAATAAATAAGTTATGTTTGCACCAGTGCCATACATTTGTCATCCAATCACGTCCCGAAATACCAAATTTAGCACAGGTGAAGCTAGCGAAACGGCCGCAAGCGCATCATGGGCGTGTCAAATAGCAATGTTGTTACATGACGCGCATCTCATGATTATTATGCCTGCACCAGCCACATACATTCCTCATCCATTCACGTCCCGTAACACTAAATTTGGTATATGTGAAGCTAGCCAAACGGCCGTGAGCGAATCATGAGCGTGGCATGATGTAGTCATGTTGTTGCATGATGCGCATCTAATGATTATCATGTTTTTACCAGTCAAATACCTTCACAATCCATTCACGTCCAGTGATACCGAATTTGGTATATGCGAAGCTAGCGAAACGGCCGCGAGCGCATTATGAGTGCGGCATGTAGTCATGTTGTTCCATGCCATGCATGGGATAATATTCATGTTAGGGTCTGTCGCTTGTGTTCGCCACGCAGTCATGTCATACCATATCAGTTTTGCAACGTCATGTGAACACAACCACTGCAAGAGCAGTAAGACCATGAAATGAAAATTACGACATCCATGAGCTACATTTCATGATTTTCATGGTATGGCTAGTCAATTATGCTCACCATACAGTCATGTTTTGCTATACCAATTTCGCTAACGATACCAATACCGAAACGGCCAGGTGAGCTAAAGGTCGTAGGCGGATAGATAGATAGATAGATAGATAGATAGATAGATAGATAGATAGATAGATAGATAGATACGCTCAATGTCACCGATGTTCGCTAAGAACGGCTTCGCATTTAAAACAACGTTAAAAAAATTGCCCGCAGCTTCCCTCGGGGGAACACTGAGGAGGATGCGGAGCATATAATTGGTTAACGGGGTGTTAAAGTGCGACTTACTTGGGTCGATGGCTAAATTGGTTAACGTGGTTGTGAAATGGGGTGTTAAATTGCGACTTACTTGGGTCGATGGCTAAATTGGTTAATGTGGTTGTAGGAGGGGGTGTTAAATGAGTGAACACGTACACACGTATGCGAAAGGACGGCGCTGGTCGAAGGGACGTCGATCATTGTGTTTGTGGATTCGTTGGAATTCATTTCACCGCGACCTTGGACGTCGACGCGCCGTACAAACCAACCGACGAGCGGCAACTGAGCGAGCGAGCGCCGACCTTGAGTATATATACAGCGCGACGGCGCATGCACTGTCAGCTGTTGAATGTTCTCGAAGGAGAAGCGCGCGCGCGGCACAGATGGCGACGGCGCGACGGCGCATGCGCTGTCAGCTGTCGAATGTTCTCGAAGGAGAAGCGCGCGCGGCACAGATGGTGGGCGACGGCGCGACGGCGCATGCGCGCGCGTCAGCTGTCGAATGTTTGAGAAGCGGTGCGGACGGCGCGGACGGCGTGGACGGCGCACTACAAGGCGCGAGTATAAGATGCTTCCGCATCTAAAAAATCGGCAGATCCCACGTACTTGGGAATCGACGTTATGCGAAGCAAGTGGAGAGGAGCTTACCATGTTGCGATTTTTAAATGAGCAACACGTCATGAAATGACGCTAAATATATGTACAAATGTTGCACGCGCAGCCATATAATAAAGAGTTACATATGCTTATAAAACAAGTTGTTCGCACTTGCGCAACGATGTCACCTGGAACATGCGTATTGGCAACACCAGAAGCTGACAAGAAGTGCTAATGCTTGCGAGGATGCTGGCCCTGGACACTGCTACACAAGTCAACTTCAGTGCATGGCATCTAACCACAATTGATGTTAACCCCACGTGACGGCTGTATCAAAGCAGTACATGTGTAATATTTATAAAATTGGGAAGGCAGCACTGTAACCACTATCGAAGTTTCACGAAGATTGGCCTCTATTTGAAATGCAGTTCCGAGACGTGGCGTAGCTCTGTGGTAAATTGCTTCATTGCCAAGCAGACTGCTTGGGTTCGATTCCAGCTGGGACCCTGACATTTATTCTTTGCATTCGACGGCTCGACGCTACCGATGTCAGATATTTCTTAACGCTCGCGAGTTGAAATTGCCCATGTGTGTTCTCGTCATTCCTAGGTAGATACGAAGTGTCAATCACTTGTGGCACATACCCGCTTACCAGCTGCACATACCCTTCCGTTGGTATGTGCCACTCTACGGCGGGAAGTGTTTGACAACGTACGCGCCAGAATGTGACATTATTCATGTCTAGACCAGCGCGTCACATTCGTCAAACCATCTTACCCTCCCATGCTAATTTTGCTTCCCGCCAAGTTAAGGGGGTGACCACGATAGCACCCAAACGTAAGCGAATAGATAGATAGATAGATAGATAGATAGATAGATAGATAGATAGATAGGATCAAAGTCGCCGAAGTTCGCTAAGGAATGTTTCGCATTTTAATACGGGACGAAGTAAGGACGCAGACTACGGCCTCCTTTCGTCCCGTTTTTATCGCTGTTTCAAAGACCATGGTTTCAAGAACTAAGTTTTTCAAGACATTCGCTAAGCGTCCCGTCATTATTGTATGTAGCCAAATCTCGTTAGTTCTTGAACCGGCCGTAGAAGGCGGTACTTGTACATATAACGAAATGCATAACGCTGAAAAATGCAAATGGCACGATACTAGAGGACGTTACTTGTAGTATGATAAATAATAAAAAACATAGCATATCTATGCAGCGAATGATGAGTGGGGCGAAGCATCCATATGTCCGTCCGCGCTTCCGTCTGTCAGTTCGATCTTGCTTCCGTCCATCCGTGCGTCAATCCGTCCGTCCGTGCGTCTACCCGTTCATCTTTGCGTCCATCCGTCTATCCCTGCGTCCATCCAATCTTGCGCCCTCTATGTGTCCGTCCGCCCATCCGCCCATCTTCTTGTGCATTTATCTGTGCGTCCATTCGTCTGTCCGTGCATCCGTTCATGCGTTCGTCCGTCCATACACTCATCCGTTCATCTGTGCGTCCGTCTGTCCATCCGTGCATTCATCTATTTGTGCATCCGTCTACGCGTCGCTTTGTCCTTCCCTGCGTTCATTCATGCGTCCGTCCATCCGTCCATCCGTGCGTTAAACAGACAATGACAGACGGACACGGCCAGTGGATGATTCATGGTTTACCGATAAAAAGTATGATGCGGGCAAGGCGGCGGCGGCTCGCACTCGAGGACAGAACTCCGGTGTACGAGCGCACGAGAAAATAAAGAGTTTTAGCAGAGCGGGCCAGCGGCCAGCGAACCGGAGCGGACGAGCGCAGCGCCAGCGGAACGACGCGCGAAAAAAAGAGTTTTAGCTGAGCGATCGGCTGCTGCCCCCAGCGAAGCGTTGTACTGCGCCATCTGTCCATTCAAATTTGAACTACCCTGATAGGAAAAAAAAGTAAAGGTTTATTTTTAGATGCTAAAACCACAATACAAACACGAATTTTATGTTTCAGTACATATTATTTTACTTTAACGGTGATTTGTATCTTTTAGCGAAGTCGTTAAACTGAGGAAAGTACGTCACCAAGCCAACTGAAGTCGAAGCTCCAAGCCAGCTGTTTGTTGCCGCGCTTTTTAACAGACAGTGTGTGGCTTGCCGCTGCAAATTGCCGCTGATAACTGCTTTGAACAATGCCCCAGAGCATACTGCAGGACCCCCTGCTCCTGACTCGGTTGAAATGGTCCGAAATAGTCGACGTCTTGTGCTTAGAAGTTCTGGGCGAGACACGGCGTGACCCACTCTCCATGCGAGGTCTTTTGGACATTGATGCGATCGACAGTGGCGTGTTCAGAACGTACTTTCGGTTGGAAAAGGACGATGTACCCAGGCTACAGAGAGCTTTGTGCATACCTGACAAGGTAACAACTCCGCAGAGGGTGTCAGTTCCCGGCGACGAGGCCCTTTGCATCACGCTAAGAAGAATAGCCTACCCAAACCGGCTGCGCGATCTGGAACACCTTTTCGCCCGACACAGCTCGACCATATCGTCATTGACGAACGAAGTGCTCAGGCACATCGAGGACAACTTCTTCCACCTTCTGGACGACGTTAATAACCACACGTGGCTGAACCTGGACACCCTGGAAGAGTTCTCACAGGCAAGCGAGAATAATTAGAGTTGTACATTCGCAATTACAACTTTCTGACATATTCGTTCGGTATTTTTTCAGGCCGTTCACGCGAAAGGTGCCCCGCTGACAAATTGCTGGGCCTTCATCGATGGCACGGCGCAGCCAATATGCCGACCAACAAGGAACCAGAAAGTGTACTTCAGCGGCCACAAGAGAGTCCACGCCCTGAAGTACCAAGCTATAATGTGCCCAAATGGCATGATCTGCCAGTTGGACGGATCATACCCCGGCAGCAAACACGATTCAGGCGAGTAAATGACAAGCACAGCTGGTGGATCAAACCGCTGCTGAACGTCACTCGCCTCCTCCTTCCCTGCTAGGAACGGGCGCAGCTCCAGCTAATCGTAATTTATTCTTTCAGGTAACTTTGGAAACAGCGCCGCGTATACGAAGCTACAAAACCTCGTTCAAGGTCACGACTGCTGCATCTACGGGGACCCTGCCTACCCGTTGCGGCCCCTTCTGCTCAAGCCCCATGGCGGAGCTCTCCTGACTCCTGAACAATTAGCTTTCAACAAAGCCATGAGTAGTGTGAGGCAGGCTGTGGAGTGGGGTTTTGAAAAAATTGTCGGACTGTTTGCCTTCGTGGACTTCAAAAAAAAAAAACCAGGAACTCTACCTTCAGAACCTTCCACGCATATACAAAGCGAGCGCACTCCTCGCAAACTGTCACACTTGCTTGTATGGTGCCCAGGTATCGCAGTACTTCGGCCTTGAACCACCACAGCTTGAAGTTTACCTTGCCCACAAATAGTGTTGTACAACCAACCACAGTTATCGAAACAAAGTTCGTTGGCGAGCCATGCTTTAAAATGATCTTGTGGCTGTCATTTGCTGTACTAAACGAACGCTACTTGTTATGACACTCTAGTGAATGAAATCTGCTGAACGAAAAGTGCAAAAAACTGACATTCCTGTGTTTCTTCGTATGGAGAAATTGATTTCGTATTGTTACAAGCGTTTCCGCTATACTGTGTTAAATGCCACAACATTACTGGCAGTGTCATGTAATTTCCCATGCATGTAAGTCCCCTCTGTACAGTGCGAAATGTGTGTACAGTGTCGACGTATCCCTACACTTGGGCCTTGAACCACCAGTTCTCGAGGTTCGCTTTGCCCCACGGTAATGTTCCATGACAAGCAGCTTCGAAAACAAAGACTTTATTGAAGAATTGCATACCGTATGGTGTTGTCAGGTTTACACTTGACGCTGGATCCTTTCACACTTAAAAAAAACATGACAGATGCAATGAAGCCGACAATTTATCAAAGAATTAAGATTCTATTACCTGAGGACTTCTAGGTACAACACGACAGTATCTCATTTTCAATGAAATTACCCGTATTGTTCCGGCAAGACATACACTTACATTTGAAAAGCAGTTTTCAAAATTGTTAACCAGCCGAACGTGTTTTCGCTGGAACTACCCGTTTTAGACCCCTCGTCGCAGGAAAAATGCTGGTGCGCAGTGATGTCTTGCCGTTACCTCCTAATAAATAAATAATCTGCAACCTTAGGCGTCCTCGAGTCTGAACCATTGTATTTTAAATAAAGTTGTATTTGAGTTTACGTGTAGGAAATGTGATCCCACTGGAGATGCTTCTCTACTTACGTGTTGTGGTGGTGTTGTCTTATGTGTTGTGGTGCTGCGCCAATTTGGTGGTTTGGAGTTCTGCAGCTTCCAGTATCCCAGCAAAATGTCTACACGATCTTTTATACCTCTTAGGGTGAGCTCCCGGCCCACCGCCCGATTCACCGCAGCGAGAACATGCACCCACTTGATGTCATCGCCAAACGGCTTCGCCGCGGCCACCTCCCGAAGAAGACAGAGGTCCTCGTGAGCACTGAAGCACCTCCGGGGCTTTTTAGCTGGTTGCATTTTTGTTTCAGAAGCGTTCGATGCGACCACGGCCAGCGACGCGACACCACGACCGTTGGAGGCAGCCATTTTGAATAACTACGCTCGCTCGCCCGGCCGCCGCTGCGCGCTGCGCTGGGATGACGAAACGAGCGGGCGAGCGCGCAGCGCCGTAAAGCCGCTCGCCGCCTCAGCGTACTGGCGCATGCGCAGTGGCGTTTCCGCTGGTCCGCTCCGTTCCGCTGGCCGCTGGCCCGCTCTGCTAAAACTCTCTAATAGGAGTGGCGTCACACGAAAACGTTGGTGATCGCGCGTTCGTCGGAGGCGCCGCACGCTAGGGGCCGTGGTGTAGCAAAATAAAAGATATTTTGGCGGGCGCGCACGTTCAGAAGGTCGGCGGACGACAAGGCTGTAGAGCGGCGTGCGCGCAAGGCGGCGGCGCCTCTCACTCGAAGACAGAACCCCGATGTGCGAGCGTGCGAGGCAGAATCGGTCCGTGAAGCTGCATGGCGGCGCCGACAAGATGCCAGCGTACGAGAACGGGAGGCCGAAGCGGCCGGTAGCGGCGTGCGGATGCAGCTTCACTCCACTCTCCATCATTCAAACCATGGATATGATGTCATTTTTCTTTTAAAGACGACGGCGACCTTCGACGGAAAAAATTTTGTCTGTCTGTCTGTACCTTTGTCTGTCTGTCCGCCCTAACGATACCTCAAACGGCATCAATGGGCCAACCCCATCCGCAGCACCCACTAATATTGCTCAAGGTTTAGCGCTCGTAGCTGTGCGATTCTCGATTAAAAAGCAATCATCGCGCATACCTGAGGCACCACAACAACGCTTCGATGTTTTGTATGTCTACCTTTATACTAGAAGAGGCACACATAATTAACTCTAAGGAATGCAGCGTTTATCCCGCTGCGCTGACAGTGCAACGCGATGCTCAGAAAGGTGCTTCCAACGCTTTGCTACGACGTCATGGTGGGGGCGCCTGCCCGTTGCTTTGCGTTCTACACCTTATCACCTCCGAGACTGGCGCGCATCTTTCTCCGCGGGCTGCACGCCTTCGTTTTCGAAGATAACTGCCAGATGGCGCTTGTGTCTAACCTGCCTCGATGCGCTCATTTGCCTCCGCTGCACGCTCGAGGCACTCCAACGCAGCGCCTCCAAAATACCATTCACCGATTTTCTTGTGCAGAACATCAAATAAACGGTTTTTTCACTCTCTCCAGACGCAAGACTATCGTCTTTCACCGACATTTGCGATGTAACATGTAGATTTGAAACCAATTTTTTTCTCGGGTACTTTAACGCAGAAACTTCGGTCTGTGTATTTTGTCTGTCTGTCAGACCCACGGTTCAGGCACCCGGTCAAAGTTTAGGCACCTGCTGAATGCCCACCTATCTTGAACTCGTGGCGCCATTTATACTCATCAACATTATCGATCAAAAAGCAAATATTACGCACACATGTGGCACAACATCAATACTTAAGTTTTACGCGGCGCGTTCCTTCACTATAAAATACACAGATACATATTTCTAAAGATCCTAGTGTTTCTTGAACATTCCTGAAAATGCAAAACTATGGACAAAATAAAAGCACTATGCTGACGATGTGGTGCGGCCAACTTCGGCTGGTGTCTACGTCGACGCAGAGGCAGTACATGCGCAGAGCCTTTGACCAATCCACATAATAAAAATCTTGTCTCACGAAGCGTTCTCTTTCGCAAGCCATCATGGGTGTGACCAAACTATCACTGACATGTCGAGGAGGTACGAACACATGTTGTTCCAGCAGTAGTAATGCGGTAAAATAAAAGCTGCTCGAATAAACCTCTTTATGACATTCAACTTCTCACCCGAAGGCCGCGGGATTTAATCCTGGCTGTGGCGGCTGCATTTTCAATAGAAACAAAAATATTCAAGGCCCCAGTGCTGTGCGATGTGAGCGCAAGACAAAGAACCCCAGGGGTCAAAATATCCGCCACTTCCGACTTCGGCGTCTCTCAGTATGATATCGTGGTTTTGGGACGTTAAACACGAGATTTTATTACCAAACAAATCTGCATTACATTTATGATGCCAGGACGAAAATGGTTCGAGAAAAGCATCACCGGTGGCCACGGACGAGACCAGCACATTATTTTATGAGGCGTAAAGCCGTCAGGTTGAGGAAGAAAGAAAGCAGGAAGAAAGAGACTGAAGCATAGTATATAAGAAAAATAAACCGAGGAAAGAAAAAGAAGAACACAGAAAGTGAAATAAATAGAGAAAGGGGAGTTTGAACGAAATACAGTGAAACATACACAAAGAAGTAACAAGATGCAAAGAAATGAAAAATTGGATAGAACTCGAGAGACAAGAGAAGAGAGAAGGCGTTAGGAATAGACAGAGAGCGTAAAAGTTGCCTACACTTTCGTTTCATCTCTCTAGAGATCTACGCTTCAGATCTTTTTTAGATGCGGAGCATCTTATACTCGCACCTTGTAGTGCGCCGTCCGCACCGCTTCTCGAACATTCGACAGCTGACGCGCGCGCATGCGCCGTCGCGCCGTCGCCCACTCTTCCACCATCTGTGCATCCCTTCCTCCTCTACACACCGCGCGCGCTTCACTCCTCCACCATCTGTGCACCCTTCCTCCTCTACACACCGCGTTCGACATCTACAATTCTCCTGATTCTCCAGTGGACGCGCATGTGGCGTCGCGCTTCGAGAACATTCAACAGCTGACAGTGCATGCGCCGTCGTGCTGTATATATACTCAAGGTCGGCGCTCGCTCGCTCAGTTGCCGCTCGTCGGTTGGTTTGTACGGCGCGTCGACGTCCAAGGTCGCGGTGAAATGAATTCCAACGAATCCACAAACACAATGATCGACGTCCCTTCGACCAGCGCCGCCCTTTCGCATACGTGTGTACGTGTTCACTCATTTAACACCCCCTCCTACAACCACGTTAACCAATTTAGCCATCGACCCAAGTAAGTCGCAATTTAACACCCCATTTCACAACCACGTTAACCAATTTAGCCATCGACCCAAGTAAGTCGCACTTTAACACCCCGTTAACCAATTATATGGTCCGCATCCTCCTCAGTGTTCCCCCGAGGGAAGCTGCGGGCAATTTTTTTTTCGCCTGTTTTTATCTGTGTGTGCATATATATTAATATATATATATGTGTGTGTGTGCGTATGCATTTTATATATATTTTTTTTCTTGCGGCTGTACCTTCACACACGTCAATGTTTATTACGTGTCACCATTAGATGCTTTATTATGTATCTGTATTTCTTTTATGTTCAACTCAGTGTTAATGGACTGTCGCCTTTCTACATATCGAAATCGTTATCTCTCCCCTACACTAATGCCCCTCGCTGGTGCTGTAGGTACTGTAAATAAATAAATAAATAAATAAATTGGCATCATATCTACGGAGTGAATGATAGAGAGTGGGGCGAAGCATTCGTCCGTCCATTCGTTCTTGCTTCCGCCCGTCCATGCATCCGTCTGTGTGACCGTTCATGCATCCATCCGCCCGTCCGTGCGTGCGTCTGTTCGTGCGTCCGTCCCTGCGTTCGTCCATGCATCTGTCCCTGCGTCCGTCCATGCGTCCATCCGTCCGTGCATCTGTCTATGGCCGTTCTGTCCATTCGTCCATCTAGTCAACACTC